CAACTAAAAAAAAGTTACAATTTACAAACAAATTAAAAAAAAAACATCCAGTTAGACCACAACAGATATCCTTTGCTAATTCCCTGATACTGGGCCTTTTGGGGTTCTGAGAAGGGAAAAAAAAAAAAAAAAAAAAAGTCCTTTTACTTAGCCTCCTCTGATGACTTCCTCCATCTCCCTCCAATCTTTAAAGCTACACACTTTAACGGGTAACCCAAAAAAAAAAAAAAAAAAAAAAAAAAAAGATGTCCTTTGCTTTATTTGCTTGAAGTCGTGTTAAGCACCATTACCTTCCTTTTTTTCTTCTTTTTTTTTCTTTTTTTTTCTTTTTTTTTCTCCATCACTACCTTTCAGGCTGGAGGGCGAAGTCGGAAATATGATGGTTATAAAAAATATGGAGCGGCACTGGTGCGCCAAGCTTTTTTCCATCACTATATACCATCTAGGTTTGCAAGGAAAATGAGCAATGGCGAAAAGACAGATTTCAGATTGCAAAATCACATTGAAGGCCAGGAAGTCTGACACTGTGCAGAAAGCAGAATTGCACCGATATTACACCAGTGGAGAATCAAAACACTGAATCCGATTGTCAATGAGAGCATACTCTGTGGCCATCACCAACATAAGTATCCAGAGCCCTTCTCCTACTTGGCGCTCGACGCCCCGACTACTATCACCCAGCTAGTAGCAGCCTCCGCATTGACAATGCAACTGTTGACGTCCGCAGCAGAACCGAAGTACATGAAGATGTCGAGTCATTGTCAACCCTTGGAGACTATCGCCAACACCAGGTACGTGCCCTCACATCCTCCTCTCTCTCTCTCTCTCTCTCTCTCTCTCTCTCTCTCTCTCTCTCGTTTCCTCCCCATACACAAAGACCACCACCACCTGCTGACTATCCAAGCCCGAAGCCCGGCTGTGAAGGGCTGGGCTATGGTGCTGCCGTCAGCAGCGCCCTGCACGTCACGACGCGCGCGTGCGCCCGTGCGCCCGTGCTCTTGCACTAGCGCAGCTAGCAGCCTACGCGCCGATGCTCCAGCAGCGCTGCGCCCACAAATGCTAGTGCCCGAACGTTGACCCTGGCGCCCGTCACTTTCCTATATGGAAAGTGGCGGGCGCTTTGCCTTGCCCCGTCACGTGAGGCCGAGTTTCCAGTAGCTTCAGTCTTGGCCAAAGTGTCTGCGCCCAGGCCTGATTCAGACTGTGGCCTGGGACCGTATTCGTTAGGCATGCCCTACCACCCAGGCACGAACGTGCAATGTCTAACGACTTCGTTAGGCATGCCCAATCATCCAGGCACGAACGTGCTTTGGCCACGTTGAGAATGGCCTGGAAGGCTCGCGAATCTTTCCCATTCTCACGTGCAGGGCGGATGTAACCAACTGGCGTGAGGCAACTGTCTGGCGCCGACCAAGATTTGCAAAAATTGACGAATTCAGGGGCTCGCCTTCACTTAGGTCGGGCCCATGCCTGATGCAGGGCCTTATGCGGTTATGCCGAGGGATCAAACCCTCGCAGGTTATAACTTATAATGTATATAGTATATACCACATTCTTTGGAGGCCGGGAGAGACCAGGCGCCACAACGACCGAAATGGCTGGTGGCGCCAGCGAAATAAACGAAACAGAAAAGGTCGCTGGTGCTTCGGCAAAAGCTTGTCGCACCAGTTCTGTTTAAGGACCGAAATGGCTGGTGGCGCCAGCGAAATAAACAAAACAGAAAAGGTCGCTGGTGCTTCGGCAAAAGCTTGGCGCACCAGTTCTGCTCCGACTTGGGAAAACGAGGCTCGGCGGTCATGGTGTTCTAACCAAAAAATAATGAAAAAAAATTGAAAAATATGATGCAAGACCCACTCCTTCCCGTCCTAAAGCATTACGATCAAGTTATCCCCGGTAAGTAACATGAGCATATAAATTTATTAAAAACTGTAAAATAGAAACCACTTCAAATAAGTAGCACGTCATAAATCAAGGTCCCAACCGGCCTTGTTCAGTTGGTACACCCCCGAGCAGTTAAAAAAAAATATAAAAAAAATTGATGCGCCATTGGCCCATTTCGACCTGAGTTTTTGAAGTGGCCTAGCTCCACTGGGAGCAAACGAGTGAAATAGTAGCGCATAAAATTCATAAATCAAGGCAAAAAAGACCAAGAAATCGGCGCATGGAAGAAATCCGCATCGGGAAAAAGAGGCTCAGAAGTACTGGTGGTTTTCAACAAAAAAAAAAAAGGGTCCTGCGCATGAGGCATACCTCTATCTTGTCCTGTCCGGATGCCAAATAGTGATGGGACAAAGCCCAGAATCTCTAGTCCTCTCGGGGGAAAAAAAAAAAAAAAAAAGAATCTCTAGTCCTGCTTCTACCCTATCGATCCCATTCACACCCCTCCCAAATAGTGCATGCATGGATGTGTGGGTGTGGGTGTGGGTGTGCATGCATGCGTGTGTGCGTGCGTGGGTGCGTGGGTATGCATGTGTGCGTGCGTGTGTGTGTGTGCGTGTGTGTGTGTGTGTGTGTGTGTTTGTGTGTGTGTGTGTGTGTGTGTGTATTTAAAAATTGCACCACAACAGCCCCTATTCCATCCAGATGGGTAGATACGAGTTGAGGCAGCTCAAAAATGAAAGAATTTCACCTCTTTGTGTCTGTATTTGTGTGTGTTTGTTTGTGTGTGTGTGTGTGTGTGAGAGAGAGAGAGAGAAAGAGATAAAGAGAGGCATAGAACATACGCAATACAGCATTCATGGCCGACCGTGGGTAACAAGACCATGTATGCAGCCGGTCCTATTAAGCGGGACGAGATTGCGGAGATTGTAAGTCTCCACAAGGGGGAAATTGCAATCACAAATTATTAAATTAAACAACGAATTACCTGCCCATCTTCTTGGAGGACTGGGATGATTAGACCTGCCAGCGTATCGATCACATATCTGCATATCCGCGCAAGCACATAATACGTGTGTACGTGTCATTTCACAAAACGACCGCACGCAAAGCGACAGCTCAGACTCGTCAATGCCCACGTCACAACAACTCACACGGATGTTCATCGCATTTCACAAACAATTGCACAAATGTCCTTGTGTCGTGTGCGCTCTTGTCCTCTTCTCGATTTTGCTCTCAGTTTGGCTTACCCCTTCTCATGCATGCTGATCAGTCAGCTGACTCAGTACGTGCCGGTCATGAACTGAGATCTCGGGGGCAGGTTGCCGTTTTTCCTTTTCTTTCCGTTTTTTTTCTTTTCTTTTCTTTTTTTCTCTATGAATGAAACAGCTCCCCAGGTTTGCCCTGGCTCCTTGTCCACCCTAAGGAGAGTCAGCTTACTTTTTTTTTTTTTTTTTTTTTTTGTGTGTGTGTTTGTGTGTGTGTTAAAACACTCCGAACGCAGTTTGGACCTCCTATCCCTGGAAAGGGCGGGATGCCAAGTTGAGATTATAGAAGATCAGCGGGGCACAGGCCCCAACTGTGAATAACTTGTGAAGTTTCTCTTCCAACCTCACACAGAGGACCGATGGTTCACAAGGAAGAAAGGAACTTCTCCAGTCTGCAAATTCAGTTGTGCACGCCTATGAGGCTGAACAGAAAGGGCAACCCCTCAGACAAACGTTCTCCTCCTAGACACACTTAGCTCGGGGTCCTCGCTTCCCGGGAGGGTAGGAATGCAATGAATTGCGGTGGCATGCGGTCTGTACACTAACTTCGTTCGATGTTGCCCGGTTTTGCACTCTCCGGGATTCGATCCCGTGACCTGTTTTGTTTGCTGTTTTTTTTTTTTTTTTTTTTTGTGTGTGTGTGTGTGAGCCCAGTTGGGCTTGATCCCTACCATCTTCCCCCGAACACAACACACCCTTATTTTGGCTGTATCTGGCTGAAAATATAGCTCGTATACATTCATTTTTAGGGAGCGTTATGTTCGGGGGAAGACGGTAGGTCTGTTTGGAGTAGTTTCTGTAGGCTAAGCTGTAATACCACTAGGTCTCTCTGCATTGTCCTTACCGCCCTTGAGTTGTAGGTCGTTTCTGTCCTCCCCTCTTTCCAATTTTAGGTCTAGGTTCGGTCCTTTTGTCCTCCCTTCTTGCCAATTTTAGGTCTAGATCCGGTCCTAAGGCTACAGGCTGTGTCGTTCCTAGGCTGTAGGCTGTCGAGTCAGGGAAACAGCAGTTGACGAAAGCGTCGAGGGCAAGGAACAGCGGTTTTGTCACATCATTTTTTTTTCCACGAAGTGCTGCTGGAGGTCGCGTGCTGTTTGGGTGCTGCGTTATTTCACTTGCGGCATCATCTTCATGCTGCTACGGCTGTCCTCCATAGCTGAGGCTTCCTGGCTCATGTTGAGACGGCGCTGGGCATCAGGCCCTGAGCGCTCTGAGGCGCCTCCTCTTACCTGTGTTGTTGGGGATAGGCAGGGTCGCCATATTGCAAGCGTTTGTCGAAGTGTCAGCCATCTTCTTCTTCATCAACCGCCATCTTCTTCTTCATCAACCGCAGGTGCTCTTCTTCTTCGTCATGGGAGCTACCCTGCCCTGTTGAGCGGACACTTCATCTCCAGTGGGCATCGAATTTGGACTGCTGAGTGGCGTGTCGGGTTCAAGAGGTTTGGTGACGCTTGATGGCCTTGATACGTTGGGCACAGGCCTGCGCCATAGCTGTGAGCTTGATGTTGGGAGGAAGAAGAAGTCTCCCTTACTCGTTGAAACTCTCTTCTTAGTTGGTTCGTGGATGTTAATAACGCGGTTGGGATCCTTGGAAATAACAGTGCATTGATTGGCTGGAGGGAGAGGTATATATTAATGAGAATTGAGTAATTAGTAATTATTAATTTCAATTCTATTTTTGGGTTTAAAACTTTAAGTGCTTCCACTGTGTATTCTCTCATCCGGCGTGGTGTGAATTGCTCTCTCCAAGATCTCTTGTCGTTGCGCATGTGTATGGGAACATGTGGATGCCATGCTGTATCTCGTTTCAATCAGGCACATCACATGCAGAGAGTGGGCCTCGTTCCACTCCTCTCGACATGTGCAAAACGAGAGTGAATCTTCCGCTACAACATGGAAAGATACACCGCCATGGTTTGCCTTTTGTGCACGTCGAGAGTACTGGAGCGAGGCCCAATGCCGCACATCTTCTTCTGCTGCTGCTGCTGTCACACAGTGAGCCCATCATCGCAGAGCTGCTGCTGTCGCGAAATTCATTGAGCCGTACCTTTCGGACTTCTTTGTCGTCTTTAGACCGTGGACGAATTTGGCCATACAGCGTATTCCATTCCCACACATCTGCACATAGACAGACAGGTTGTCTACATTTGTCAGCCCGTTTGACAATCAAAGCCCCACAGCAACTACAATACGGATATAAAAAACGCGCAAAATTTGCACAACCACGGAAAGAAAAAGGGAAAAAACAAAAAAAAAAGACTTCAAAAAAGTCAAAGCTTCGAGTGGGCAACTTCAAGTCGAAAATAAGTTTCCGCTTCGAACTTCGAAGTTCTTTTCAGATTTTTAAAACTTCTTTTTTTTTTTTTTTTCCCACCGACGCGCCTTTTTTTTCATTCCAATTTCCAAGCGTAATACAGAGATTAGAGATCCGCATGTATTGAAGTTTTTTTTTTTCCAAGCACGTTTTGAAGTTTGGTCATCAGAAAAATGATGTCTTTCGGCTTGTCACAGTCACGACCAACGCCCAGAGAATTTCTAGTGCGCACTGGGTTCCCTTCTAAATTAATTAAAAAAAAAAAAAAAGGACAGTCTGCCAAGCAGTAGTAGTAGTATGGATTCCGTACGTCTGGGCCTAAGCCCTCCTCTGTGCATGCACAGATTCGAACCGGCGACCTCGGCCTCAAGAGCCAAATCTCTTATAACCACTACAGCCAGGACACAGTGTTCAAAAGTGGAATCGTACCGGTCGATATCCACCCCACCCCTGCAAGGCTGTAGTGTCCAACTCAACACACACCACACACGACACCCACGGACACGGCAATTCTCGTACACTTCGCTCTGTAGTCAGCACGTAACCCCCGCTGGTACTCTTACCCGCTCACACAGATGGGACTGATCAAGCAGGTTGAGATGAATTCGCAAGGAATATATAAGCGAGAGTGATAGACAGAAAACCAAATTGCGAAGTCACGCTATAGGCCAGATAGCCAAGTACCAAGCAGAAAGCGCAATGCACCGAGATTTTCTTGAATTTCTTCCTTTTAAACTAATATAAGCTAAATTCTGCTCTCAATTCTACCTTAGACCACCCACCCACCTATACGTCTCCTTCTTTTCTTTTCTTTTTTTTTTTTTTTCTTTTTTTTTTTTTTTTTTTTTAAACATTCACAATATACAACATACCCACCCATGTCTTAGCACCAGCCTCCACCCATTCACAAGTGTCGGATTCTTCATCTGGACTCTAATCATTGGTCGTTTTGTCGATCTCTGATTGCATGGGTGATATCTCCCCTCCATTTTCCAGATCGCAAGGGGAGAAGATAATCAACAAAAAAAATAAAAAATAAAAAAATCCAGGCGGTAGCAGTCTACAAAAAAGTACCTGAATTAGAGCTTCAAAATTCAAAATTTCAAATCCAAAACAGCGTTCCTTACCAATAATTCAAACTATGAGGTCGAATTAAAAAAAAACAAAAAAAAAACTAAAACTATGAGGTCGATGCACGGATTATGAACAAAAATTCAAGAATACCAGCCAGGCTGCCCGGGTCACCTTGTTTTCCTGGGAGGCCCGACCGTGCAAGGACCAAAGGAGGTCACCGTGCGGGGGGTGAAAAAAAAAAAAAAAAAAAACACTGAAAAAAAATCAAGAAATTGAAAAATAAACTGAACAAGTTAGAACAACTTTTTTTTTTTTTTTTTTACCAAACAAAACAGATATCATATAACCGGGAAATAAGTATCACATCGAAATTATTTACCAAATTGGCAAATTTGACGATATATATATCGTCAAATATATTCTATTTATTGGCCCGGCTGGGCAAGTGGTCCCAGGACACTCTGGTAGCCTAGAGAAAAAGAGAAACAATTTTTTGAACTTTTTTCAAATCGGCAATTGCCTATTATTATCATATTATGTTTGTCATTCATTGCACTGCGGCAACAGTTTGTAATACTTTCATTACTTTTTAACTTTCTTTTTTTTTTTTTTTTTTCGGTGGTGGTGGTGGGGGGTGTT